CATAAGTAATTATAGAGATGATCGTGTATATGACGTTCCAGAATCTTTGACAAAACAGGTAATATCGAAATGGGTCGATAATTGTCAGGATCCTCACGGTCCCCAGATTTAAACAACGGAATGACTTTCGCTATCTTCCAACAATCAGGGAATACACCAGAATTAATTGAAATATTCAAGATTTGAGTAATTGAATAAGCAATAGCTGGTCCTGCTATTTTCAGATATCTTGCACTTATCTTGTCAATACCCATAGCTTTGTTTGTTTTAAGTCCCAACAGAGCACCCAGCACAAAATCTTTGGTAACAGGAGGAATATTGAAAAGAACATCCGGATCTTTTCTTGAACAAACAAAGTTTTCAACCTTTGAATTGCAATAAGGTACATTAGGTAGTAGATTCCTCAGTGAATCAGCAATTGAAGTGAAGTGATCATTAAACTTTTCGGCCAAAACAACATTTGGCGTCTCAACTGATTTTGATACATCGCCCATTAGTGATTTTATGGTTTTCCACATCTTTTAGAGTTTCCCTTGTTGTTGTTGAAACAGGTATTATAGTATTTATATTTCGCACTGCGAATCATGTTTACAACTTTATTCCTCGCGATTTTGAAGCAGTTCCAATCCGTGACACAACGACTTTGCCTTGCTTTACGTAGTAAAGAATCCCTTTTCTGCGAAGCGCTTGTAAAATATTCACAGTCATCCATGGAGCTTGATTTTGTTTGGCTACTTTCTTTACTCGCCACGGACAGTGGGCATCCAAGATGTTAATGAAGAGACCCATCCATGCATTTAAGATATCAGTTAAATCGTCAAAGACAAATGCAGTATTCAAGGAACTTCTTTGAGGTCGGAAACGAAGGCGGATTTGTCAAAATGCTTCGTATTACGATATTTAATCGTTAAAGATTTATTTTGACGCTTGGCGTTATCCTCATATAAACGAACTCCAAATACAGGCAAATGATCTGACAGCCCATTGTTTTTGACGACAATAGACTTAATTCTTTCAGGAAAATTTGACAATACAAAGTCAAGACAGGTTCCGCTTGATGGTCGAGTAACTTCAGTAATGAGCTGTTTGAAATTCATGTTAGAAAAGGCACGTCCCAAGGGATGTTTCTTGTACGCCGGAGAAATAAAATTAATGTTGATATCGCCAGTAATGATGGTTTCTAAATTTAATAGATAAACTAATTCTAACATATTCTCGATGGCCTCATCCTCTGATAAATTAGTTGAAGGAGGTCTGTAAATGCCGGCGAATAAAATGGGACGGTTAGATTTGAATGGAAAGACTTCCAACCACAATGCTTCTATATTATACGAAGTGAGCTTGGATCATCGTCCATGTGCCATCTCAAAGCTTGAAAACATTTCATTCGACCAAATTCTCAGGCTACGCATATTTACGAATGAAAGGTGTCAGTCTTTTAAAGAAATTGTGGTGCTGCGTCGGTGTTGAATGAGATGATAGCGTGGGGATTAAGAGTGCCGAGAGAAAATTGTGCGTTAATATCTGAAGAACAATCTGGCCAATTTTCACGAAAATCCAACAAATCTACACACCCCATTAATTCATTTAAGTAGAAGTAACTTGCGTAAAAACAAACCTCGAGTTTTTAGCCTCCAGAAAAATTCCCGGTTTTGCACCGTATTCAAGCGCGTGTTATTACGGTCACATTGCCAACCAATGAAAGGGAACATTGAACTCCCTCGGCAAGTCTCGTGCCAAAGAGGTCCATCCCAATTCCAGGGAAGGTCATCTCGTGACCTCACCAGGAAAAACGAGTGGGTTGAACGAAGTCCAAAACATACATTGGGAAAGGCAAAATTTTCATTTCATCAAAATCTTCTTCCTTCTATTTCTATGGTCCGAGCTATCTCTTAGATTCACCATAAAGCAACTTCCCTTTTTCACCGTTTCACGATGACTCTTTCTTCTTAATGTTTTTGGAAATGTGACAGATTCTTCTCGTTTGTGCGGTGTTATACACGATGTAAACGAAACATGCAAATCGAGATCCCGGACGAGAGTCCGCGAAGAACATGAACACTCTGCTGGGGACGAGTATTATTACACTTTTCACTATTCGGTACCAGCTACCGTAAAACACTCTTTCAGTGCTCTCTCGCATTCTATGGAAGAATTTGTATTCTTTCTTTCAATAAATTACACTTAAATGATTTCTCTAACTAGAGACCGAAAAAACCCAAATTTTGAACATTTTGACCAGATTTTGTTGACAGTAATTTTAAACCAAGTTATCGACACAAATTTACAATTACCTCTCATTTGTGCATATACTGAAAACGACCTTGAAAACTTCATTATAAAAGTACTAGAAATGCAGTTCAACGCGTTTATGCTAAAGAATTTTAGTCAATATTATGCTTAAAATTATGCCGGCATGAACAATTGACATGACATGTAATCGGATGTTTAAGAGCCCTTTTTTGATCCTTATATAATGCAGCCCATCTGAACATACTGAAGAACGTTGATTATTTTTCTCAGACAGCATTAAAACCATTCCCTATTACCTTAATGTCTCGACAACCTCTGGGACGTACTAGTATGGTCGGCAGAACGGTATCGCTCTATTTCGTCCTTTTTAAAAATGATACTTAATCACAACACAACTTACTGCACGCACGAAAAGCCGCCATGTCAAATGGCTCACTAATTCAGCTTTTAAAACATGGGATGAGCGGGAGGCAACTTAAGGATAAGGAAAGAAAACGAGGGCATATATGTACATTGAATTTCTTTCCACGCAGAGGTTTATGGTCATAGATAATTTTAATCATAGAGCACCATCAAATGAGTATCGTCTACTATTCTTTTTATGAGAACCTTCTTTTAAGAATGTGTAGGCTGCGATTAACAAAAAAATTTAAGAACGTACTAAGAACATAACTTGGCTGAGATTCAATTCAGAAAGTCTTTATTTTGCTAACTTTTTTTTGTTTTGTTTTTTTCTTTATTTTTGCGAGAATTATAAATAGATATAAAAGAAATGTGAAACATGCGGTCTAACAGGACAATTAACTAAAACACAAATTTTAATATTAACAATGCGGTTTTCTAACTGTGCGATACACTGAATAACAACTCAGTTTGTCGTCGATGCTATATCAAGCTTCCTAACGGTGAAGCCGTGAAAGAAATACAGGGTTCTACTTTTTTTTTTCGCGCCCCCTTTATCTTCATTTTTACCACGCACGCCAAAAACCGCCGGCTACGTAGCTTGATTAGGCCCTTATAGATTGTGCTAGTAAAAGTAGCATATCATATCCTGCCAGTAATGGTCTATTTTTTTCAAAATAATGCTCAAAATTATCTCGTTTTAGAAAACTTGAAAAAGGAAATAAAATCAAAGAATATCTATGCTAAACTCGTGCATATAGAACTTGATCTAAAGATGACCATGGTTGGGAACTTGCGACTCATGCAATGCTGCTCTTATCTCAAAAGCCACCCTTACGGAAAATCTTTGAGACATCTACATTAATGGTAAACATGCAACTTCTAAAAATAATAAACGCATGCATAATCTGCCATAACATATTAACAAAAATATATTAACGTCCTTGAATAAGTTCAAAACTAAAATATGCCCAATTTCTTTCGAACATCAATGCAATTGTTACTTATGTAGATATTAGTTAATGTACTGTATAAAATCTACGATTTTATTTTTATTCATATTTTCTGTTTTTTTTTTTTTTTGTTCTTTCTCGGAGAAATTAGCTATACAGCTACTCTTGTAAACTTCCGAGGTGAAATAAAGGTGATGTGATGTGATGTGATGGTATCCAGGCAAAATTCATAAAATTTAGCCTTCCAACACACATCTGCATTGTAACGCAATGATCTTTATTACCAAGACTTTCTTCCGCATCTGATTAGTTTTTAGCCTCGGAGCGAAAATACCTCAGAAAGCATTTGATGTGACCGCTAGTTTTTTCGACTGATTGAAATTAACGTTATGCGGCAGTGAATTCCACAAGTTTTTTTTGTCAGAGAAGCACAGGACTGTTTTCGTCCGCTTAATTCTGAACGATCCATGCCATTCACCAAGTTTTACGTAAGATAATTGAATTTTATCACGGTTCTTGGTTAACACCGGATCATAAACGGTCGAAGCGACTCACAATATTAGGTTTGTGCCTGAACTCGATAAATTTGGATAAATGTTCACTTGGAAGGTGACTTTTTTAAAGCAAAGATGCTTACTATAAACTGTAACATAGCCTCTCTATGGTTTTATACGCGGATACTACTCCAACATGGTTTCGTGTTCAGGACGAATAATTACCCTAGTGCTGAGAGCGGTGACTTAATTTACATCTCCATGTTAGCATAACGTTCCTTTTCAATGCCATTTTGTTATCCGTGAAAGCGGAAACTAAGACTGACGTGATTTTACTTCAGGTGCGCACAGTTCTCCAGAAGACGAACGAACGACTCAGTTTTGAAGTAACCCCCTTCCCCAAAGACATAATCAGTCTTGGAGACCAAACAGCTAAAAAATATGGTGATTATGCCAGCAGTGCTATTTTTTATGTCCCTTTTTTCAAATCGTGCCAAAAATCATGCTAGCACCATCTATAATTAACTGGTAAAAGGATACGAAAGTATCGAAAAGTCAGTTCTTTGTCGTAAAAGAATACGAAAGTATCGAAAAGTCAGTTCTTTGTTGTGAAATTTGCGTGACGAGTCCAAAATGAGATGGCGTCGAGGGACATGAACTTAGCTACCTACACGTATTTACACTTCAGGGACTTGAATCCTTAAATCAACCCCGACTGGTAATGTTTTCCGCGAGTTCACTCGAAAAGAGATCTTGCGTTATCGTCATCACGTTACGTTATTGGTGGTCAAATCTTTGCGTGACGCGTTAGTAGTCTGATCACGTGGAAGGACAAACCAATCAAAACGCGCCCAGTCCTCAGACGACTAATTTAAGGTTTATTTTGTTTCTGCGCGAAAGATAATCAAACAAATTCAACATGCATGGTGTTCTCGGTTCGAAGTGGCCAAAGATGACTATAGCTTCATTTATGAAGATGAAGGAGGGAACCGCGCTGATCTACTGTTTGTACTGCGTAGGATTTTTGGTATGCTTCCTCAGACTTGTTGAAATGAGTATACATCAAACATTGATCAAGAGACCAGAGATTGTTTCCGTCTTTTGTCTAACAGGATTTATTTGCTGTAAGCTGCTTCCTACCTCTATTGACTCACAGAGCCAGAGAGCTTGGGGCATCACCGTCACTTGTCGGAGTTATCGGTGAGTGGATCTGCTAACAAGAACACTGCGAAACATAAATAAAAAATTTGCTCTACCTGGAAACTCGCCAGTTCATTGACTAATTACACCTGTTTATTCGATGTTTTACTATATCCCATATCACGAAAACCTCAGGTGCTTTCCCTCGATGGGAGGTTAACCTTGTTCATTTTTTTGTATATTCAGATATGCTTTTGTTTTTGTTTCTAATAAAATGAGTATTTCACATCATCGTTGTTCTTGTCTGACAAGTTGTCCAGAAAAATATCTCGTGCAAACAAAAGAACAAGTTGAACATAGACAAAAGATTCCTTTTCTTTCTAAGATTTTTTGGTTATGGTTACAGTATTGAAAGTACAAACTGAAGGCTTAGAATTGTGGAAAAAATGTATTTTAAAAAGCTGGTAAAGCTTCAGATTTTTTATATTGACAAGTTTTTGTTTTATGTTATATTATGTCACAGGGTCCATATATGGTGGCCTTCAATTCTTTTCCAGTCCTGTCATGGTAAGAGGTCTGGCTATATGCATGCTAGTCGCACCACACTGTTTGAGATTTCTTAACATGATAGTTGATTTTGGAGAGGTCTAAATGACCAGTATGTGTAGAAATCTAGAGAATCTAATTGTTTACATAATATATCTACTAGCCATCAACACTAAGCAACAAGAAAGGCTCATGTTTTCATTTTATTTTGTTTTTACAATGTCACACTGGTGGGCTACTCACTTTAATCACCAATTATTACAGAATCCATAGCATGCAGCGTGAAGCCATGAGATTGCAGAATGTTTTATATCATCCCTGTGGGGGGCAGGGGGGGTGTAATACGGTTAAGTTTTGCTGAGTATGTGCCTCTAGCCTCTCAGAACCCCTAGCTAGTCTGGTTTAGTTTATTCTGTGGCCAATTATAGACTCCATCACAGTCACTTTTTAGCAAATGTAATTTTCATGATTTTTACTTAGTCACATGGGAGTCTATAATCCTTAGAATGTCTATCATAAGTAACAGTGACTGATGTTTCAAACACAGCTGAAGTCATCATCACACTCTCCTGTGAAGATGACTTCAGCTACAAGACCAGCTAAGGGATGTATAAATATAAATTCCAACTTACAACTTCTCAGGACTACCCTTGACTGGATGATCAGATTACATAATCAAATGTTACCCCTGAGTTAAAACCTTTTGTGATAGATCACAAGTTGATTTACACTAATATGGAATATATCAAGGTGTGCCCCTATTTTCTCAGTGTGTACAAGTTCAAATATCTAGATTAATTGTAATTAATACCATGTGATACAAAATAAAATGGTAAGCAATGATGATTAAAACAGCAGACTTGATTATGAATAACTTGAATTAGCTCTGAATTATTTTGAAATATTTATCTATTTTTAGGGCAAACTGAGTGATGTATTTGGAAGAAAAAATCTTCTTCTGATTAGCCTCTTTGGTGCGGCTGTAGGTTATATTCTAACAGGAATTCCAACAACATTACTTTTTCTAGCACTCAGCAGAGTTCCAGTAGGTGAGATGCTTTTTTTTTTCTGAATAGTAAGTACCTGAATGAGACCTCCTATCTTGGTTACCGGTCACCTCGCCACCAAGCAGACTCGTCACCAGCGAACTCGCCACCAAGGAATGATCTCGCCACCAACGTACTCGCCACCAAGCAAAGTCTTCTCGCCACCAACCACCAATAAAGAGATAAACTAGAATAAAGTAGTCGAGGAGAGTAGGATGTTCGAACGAGCACAATTCAAATCGGCCGATACGTTTGTGCGCTTGTCTGTATTTAAATTATGACCTTCAGCGACGTGTTAGATGTGTTCTGTTCCTAACTCATTGACATCGAAACGTATCGTGTTTGTCTTTTGCACGTAAGCGAGGAGAAATTGCAAAACTCGATGCGAGGAATAAAAACTTACTTGAGAGAAAATGAAACTTCATGGGAAGAAATAAGTGATGAAATGAAACTCGATAGCAGTTGTATTAAAACTAAACTTATCGGTTTCGAACGTGCTTTCGACAACATACGTTTATAAAGTTTGAGTACAGACAGGCGAACAAATTTATCGGTTTCGAACGTGCTTTCGACAACATACGTTTATAAAGTTTGAGTACAGACTTATCAGCCGAACATCCTACTGTCCTCGACTAATCTCTTTATTGATGGTTGGTGGCGAAAAGACTTCGCTTGGTGGCGAGTACGTTGGCGGCGAGATCGTTCCTTGGTGGCGAGTCTGCTTGGTGGCGAGGTGACTGGATACCCCTATCTTGTGTTTGTCAATTTTCACCTAAGCGCATGGAGCTCCTGCAGAGAATAGTTGGTTAAAACCCTTTGAATCCCAGAGGTGATTAACATGAAACTTCTCTTAACAATATCCTCACATTATCCAGCAAATGGGTTATGAGAACACTCAAACTTATCAGGTAGAAGTTGCTATCTTGATCTAACACCAACTTTGTATAACTAGTTTACAAGGAAATGTATAGCAGCTGGAGGGGAGAATTAGCATCACGATCTTGGGAGACAAGGGTCATAGTATTTTAGTGTATGGTAATATGTGCATGAATTGGGTCTTTCCTATTTTGCTACCAATTTATTTTAAGATGGAAAGTCATGTATTGTTTCTTTTCAGGGATTTTCAAGCACAGTCAAAGTATTGCAAAGACATATCTTTCAGATGTTTCACCCTCTATAGATCACCCTAAAGTCTTTGGGAACTTCAATGCATTTTCTAGTCTTGGTTTTGTCATTGGTCCATTGATCGGCGGCCATTTGGCCATGCAGTCAAATGGTTTCTCCAGGGTGACCACTTTAACTGGATTCATTTTCTTGATCAATTTTTTCTTTGTGTGGTTTTTTGTGACACCAGTTGAACAAGTGAAGAAGCAGTCTTTTACAAGGAAAGAACATGATGCATTCCTTGCTAAAGACAATACAGCAAACAACACAATAGATAACCACACAGAGGAAGAACTGGATAGAAAAGAACTGAGGGATAGAAAAGCACTCAGTGAAAGAGCAGGCTCCTCCACATCCCATGGAACAAGTTTATACAAAATTTCTTCAATAGGTTCCTCACTGGATTTGATAGTAATTCGTTTCGTGATGGGATTTTCAATGCTAGTCTTCCGCAGCAACTTCACATCCATGTTAGAGTTTCACTTTAACACCAGTCCAAAAACCAATGGCTATATTATGTCTTACAATGGTCTAGTGGGTGGTTTTTCTGGAATTCTAGTGGGAAAGATAGCAAAATTCTACAATCACAATGATGCAAAGATGCAACTTCATTTCTCCCTACTTCTCATGGCATCACTTCTTGGCATAACATTCTCACCCAGCATATTGTTCATCCCAGTCTTCATTACACCACTGGCCATCTCGAGTGCAGTTTGCCGTGTCTGCACGACTAATCTCACTTTCCGTAGGGGCAGTGAGGATGAGAAAGGGGTCATGTTAGGGATAGGGAACTCATTACTGTCATTTGCACGAATGATTTCTCCTGCTTTAGGTGGGTTTGTTCAGGAGGTAAGTGTGTACGGGCCTGGTAGCATTGGTGCTCTTATAGCTGGCGTGGGTGTTGTTATCATGATACTTTTCCCACTTGATAGGCCCAGAGTGAACAAAAAGGAGAAAAAAGACCAGTGAGAAATACATTTAGCACTATGCTTTTGATTCCATCCAGAAGAACTCTTTCACAATCTTCTAAGTCATTATCAAGTATAACAGCATATTATTTTTTAAAAGAATGAAACCCTTGCACTGGTTATCCATTGGCAGAGGGTAGACATGAGTTGAGAATGGTTAAGATTGGGAAGGATTAATTTAAGTTTATTGATATCATATAATAATAAATAATTGTTCTTGAACATGAGAAATATAAGCTTTGACTAGAGTTATGTTAAAATTAATTGTAACCCTTAACTCCCATGAGTGACCAAGAAAGACTTTCTCCTTAAAATATCAACACATTATCGCACAGGCAAGTCATGAGGATAAAGAAAAATGTCAATTTGGTTTTCAAATCTTTATTTCATAAAGTAAAATACATAATGTATTGATATTTCAAAGTTGAAACAACTCTAAATTTATTTCCCTGAAAATTTCTCTCAAATTAATTAATATGTAACCCTACAGGCAAAGTTATTGGTTGTTATAAGAGTATTTCCACTGTACATTTGAAAGTATTAATCTCTTAAATTGTATGTATTTTATAATATTTGTAGCCAATCTCTGAGAAGTATTAGCCTCAGCCGGCAACAGAATTAGTCACTATCAGTGGTAATTATTTTTAATTTCTGTTTAAATGTAGATTTTCTTTTTGAACAATGTTCCATTTTGCTCAAAATGCTTGCAGATAACATACATGTATCAAGTACTTGTCCAGAACACATACATGTAACATGTAATCCAATCTATTTTCAGTTCAAAGGCAAGCCATGACACTTGAAACCATAGTTATGTACAGCTGTTAATCTTGTATTTCAAATGTGAGAATTTTAAAAAATTCTCTCAACAGTATTTTATACTGGACAAAATATTTAATAACATAGAATTATTTACTACAGAAAATAACATCCTGTAAACCAAAATGTTGGATCTAATGTATAATGCATAAATCAACAAATAAAATACATTTAAGAGTTAACTTTCACTTGTAAGTTCTCAGCAACACAGGTTGTTTTCATCTAAACAATTATATGGGATGTAAACTAAAGAATGTATCAGAGGTATTAATGGATATTTTGTCATGTAAGAGTGTATATCCTAGAAAAATATTTTAAATTACAATCTACTGCAAGTCTTGTGATGGTGGTCATCTTTGTAGTAGAGAAGGTGGAGAGTGTATTTTCACTTTTTCATCCCATGAGCAGTCAGCAAGCTATAGGATGGGAGAAAAATCAGAGGAAAACCTACATTCATTGATCATGACTGGTATTTTTTTCCATAGTTAAAACTGTTCACAAGGCCATTTTTAACCTTTAACCCCTAAGAGTTCCTGCCATCAAATTTCTCCTTACAGTATCACCCCTGAAGTAAACATTAAGGTTATGAGAACTGAGGAATGATCACCAACTTATTAAAATAAGTAGCTCTTGATTTGTTATCAAATTCTCCTTGTCAGCACCTTAGGAAATGTATAGAGAACAGTATGGAGAATATGCATACTGATATTAAGGTGTAAAGGGTTAAAAAAAACCCCTAATTTCAAAGTTAAGCCAAGTTAAACACCTGCCAATCATACAAACTCGTATGAAAAGCTCATATGCTTTTGATAATAATCATGATTTAAAAAAAAAAATGCTCACAGATCATTAATTCTTTAACTCAGCCTTGGACTTTGGCAAATTAAGTGATCTACTCATCACTGATCAGTCAAAATATTTTTTTTCTGTAAAAAATTACCTGTCCAGGATGATGAAGATTGAAGTCTAATCCCAGAACAAATTCAGTGTGGTGTTCTATAGTCTCTAATGGACATGTTCCATTGCTAATATTCCATGTTCGAACTGTAAAGTCATAGGAGCAAGATGCCAATAAGGTGCCGTTGTGGGGAGAGCACTGGTGAGAAATAATGGATGAGATGATAACTTTCTGTAATCAACCCTGACTATAACTGACTTCTTGATGTGAAAACATGTTTAGAATATGTTCATACACCTGTACTTGTAAGTATGCACATCAGTAAAGCCCACTGATGAGGGAATGGCCTCTTCTTTTACATGTATGTCATTCTATGTGTATCATCTTCACTTAAGCTACTGTTTGTAGCAGTTTTTTTAAAGTGACAATCAGCTCTCTATACACAGGAGGGACTCGGGGGACCTCTCTGTCACTTAGCTCCAATTAACAGAGTACTGTCCTTGATTGAAAATAACCACAGTGTATGAAAATGACAAATCATCAATTTGAAAAGAAATCAGACCAGAAAAAATCAAGTGTCACCAAAAAAGTTCAGTATTTGGTTCAGAGAAAAAGGCAGGACCCTCCTTCCAAATATGAAGTTTACCAACTAAAAATAATCAAAACTACAAGGGTTTGCATTATTGCTGGGGAAAATTACACACTAGAGAATAAAAACACTGTGCAACAACTGAACACAGGTCACCAACTTGGTCACCTTCCTCAATATTTAGACACCGAAATGTTTTTCCCCTCACCATGGTGGCTACACTGGATAGGGGTAGGATTGCTGTTTTAAAAAAAGGGAGTTGCATTAAGGCCAACACTGTCTTTCCCCTCCGAGGAAACTGGTTTTAAAGCGGTTCCTACCTTAACTCGTCTTACTGCATACTGGTGACCTTCAAGAGTAAACACAGGGGCTGTTGTGTTTCTAAGATCCCAACCTCTAATATAAGTGGGAAGAAAATCACACCAAACCAAGCATTAGAAATGTAACTGCAGGGTGTACATGTACGTATATCTAGCTTTTACTTATTAATGTTCTACCTAGGAAAAAAATAGCTATTTTTTTTTTAAAACAATATAAATAGACTAACTTTATTAGCTGTCTTGTAATTCAACTTGTACTGTTTCCCAGACATAATTATGTCTAACATGTGCCAAAATTAGATTAAGTATATTGCATATAGATAGCATTTTGGTACCTGATTTTTGTATCCACTGATCCTGTTACCACTAAATTCTACAAAAGAATAAAAAATGTTAGACGATTAAGTGAAATGTTCCTTTCTATATTATTTAGTCTTAATAACAACAGATGTACAACCACAGTTAATCATTATCATATGTTAAATTTGAATAAGGTTACATGACTGTACTATTTTCCACAACAACAGTGAAAGAAATTCTAGAATACAGCTGTTTATATGTTCTTGAAATGAGGAAAAAGAACACATACAAAAGAAAGAAAATGCAAACAAGTACATGTACTCAAGTAACAGAGATGTTAGTCATTTCAAAGACAGATGCACCCACCATTTCTTCTTTTATTTGGCTCCAGTGACTGAGAGCATGGAAATTAGGCTAACTTTTTCATGCATTCATTACCAAAACAACAGTTGCACCTGAGATTATACAGTCATACAAACCCTTCACAATGGCCTCATGCACTGCTGCCATGTCCTTGGAATACAGAGTACATTTAAGTTAAGTTCTGCCTTGCCCCTAACAGTTGCTATTCACAATACAGTACACATGTGTCTGCAGTTCATTTAAGGCATCAATCCAGACCCTTACCACATCATATTTGGCCCAGTCACAAGTGAGGACCTCCCCATCATGAGCCTGTATGGTCTGTTGAGCATGTGGAGGGGCTGATATGTCCCATATCCTGAGGGTGTTGTCTCCTACAATTTCAATAATGACTGACATGTATTATAAATGTAGTGGACATGAATCAAATTTATTGATGGTATCAATGGTGGTCTTCTTTTTGTTAATTCTAAAGTGCTTTTCTTGGTGTAATTATGTTGTCGTATACAAACTCTTGCCAACAGAGGTTAAATTTTCTGTAGACTTTTTTCTACTCTACTTCATCCTATCACTTCTTATTGCCTGTAATTAATTCTAAATTCATGACTCCAGTAACTGCTCTGTAACAATTAATGTAAGCCCTCTTCATTTCAAGAGTGACTTGTTAGTAACTAATTCCTCTTTTTTAACAGACAGACAAATGGGAAAAGCAAAAAAACACAATTGAGAGGATATCGTTTGATTTGACCCTTTAACTCCCACAAGTGACCAAGATAGAAGTTCCAATTAGTAAAATATCGGGCAGATAAGTGATGATGGTAAAGAAAAATATCAATAAGGGGATTTTTAGATGATCCAATACCAAATTATCCAAACTAACATCATAAAAACTGTATTGCAGACAGTAAGGAGAACTAACAATGAGATTTTGGCAGTGAAAGGATTAAAACCAAATTCTCGGCCTGAATTACCATTATAAGCAATGATTGTGAGGAAGGAGAACCAACAGTGAGATGTTTATGTAACCTGATACAGAAGCAAATGTCCTTGAAACATGTGGAGACCACACTGCACTGTATACTACATGCTGATGATCAGCAAATGTAGCTAGAGATTGAGCTCCATTTGGATCCCACTGAGAAAGATAGATACAGCATAAAATAAGTATGTTACAATATTCAACATTGTTGTTGTTTTTTTTTTTAATACCATAATATGGTACACATTTGCATCATAACTGCACTTGTTAATCCTACCTGTCACACTTGTAATTTGACACTTTAATAATACAGTTGACACATGATCCCTGTGTTACTGGACAGTAAACATCATGTGCATGTGCTGTTGCTGTGCATTTCGCTAAGTAAACAGTTGTTCTATATTCTTATGAAAATTATTAACCAATGGCTAGTTTCTCCCTCAAAGTTTGTCATAGTTATGATTAATTGGGAACAGGACAGTGTGTTGTCCAATTCTGTCTGTAATCATACTTGTACAAATCAGACTTGAATTGTCCCAGTGTGTGACCCACTCATTTAATTACAAACCAAATTGGACTTGACTTTAAGTCATATTACCAAAGAATACTTACCAGTTTTATGCTGTGATCCCAAGATGCACTCAAAAATTGATCCAGTTGTCTATTACAGCTCCAGTCAACACCATACACCTTAAGAAGTATAGGTACGAGAAATAAACTTAGTTTCTTGTTACACAGTTGTATGAAAACACAAGTAGGAAAAACATGTAGCATACCATTATTATATTCAACCCTATACAGAACAGCAATGTTTTCACTGTAATTTGAGTCTGATTATTTTAATCAATGCCTCCCACCTCTGCACTGTGCTCTTTGCAGACCTTTATAGGACCCTAAACAAAACACAAGGAATTAATTTTCAACTGCTTTACTCAGCGCATCATCATACTGTACATGTAAAACACAACCCAGTTCTCTTCTCTAAAACACAAGCCAATAAACCTTTACACCCTAACATCAGTATATCTATTCTCTGTAATGTTTTCTAGACATTTCCAAAGAGGCTGACAAGGAGAATTCATTTCACAATCAAGAGCTACTTTAATTGATGATCATCTCCTCTATTCTTATGACTTTCATGTTTGATTCAGGGGGGTTATTGTAAGGAGAAATTAGATTTTAGTTACTCTTAGGGGATACGGGGCTAAGTCCTAAGCTATCCTTATTTGCTTGCAGAACCAAAGGATGTCTACACTGTCAAGCTAACCCAACTTATTTTAATGCACCACGACTCAGTTTTCCAAATGGTACGTTAGCTTCCAAAATTTACCTTTGGGTTTTTGAGATCCCACATCTGTATTGAACCATCTCCACTTGCAGCGATACTAAAATCCTGATTGTGCTCACTCCATGAACAATCAAAAAGACCCTCTCCCCACTCCCATCTATCAAAAGAAATTGTATTGTCTTTTAGTCCTCTCAAGTTCCTCGTTTCTGAGAGTGGGTAATTTTTCTTGTGTTTTTTTTTAAATTTGCATCAGACCTAAAGGTTTTTTTGCTCTATGATCAGTACAAATGTATAAAACTCCTGAAATCATGAAAGAAATAATACAAAATTCTATTGATTACCCGGCAATTTCGTTCTAAGGTTAGGATGTTGCCAAAATTGAAAGAAAAAAAAAATCAAGTTTAAGCTTTGCCACACCTGCCGATCACTTGAATTCCACTGGGAAGGATGTCCAGTACAAATAGTGTTCCACCACCTCGCATATGATAAAAAGTAATTTTTATAGAAAATCAATGATAAATGAAACATACATGTGCGTAAATTCCTGAAGAGAGATTTTACTTCCAACGTGTAACATTAATACTTCACATTGTTTGGAATGTATCAAAGATTTCATTTACCTGCTATTCCATAATGTTGTGAAGTTGCACAAAGGAATCTGTGACCAAAGTATGGTGAAAACTTAACTGCATATCCATGACGTCCACGAGTGTGAAATGTCACAGCCATGACTGGACAAAAAGAATCTTAAATAGAGATGAAATTACATGGTGTATATTAAACCCTAAATATATTCATTTCAGTGATCGAATAAAACTATTGATGGAAAGTGAGTTTTAAATTCACAGTTGTGTTTGTGCTTTATGACTAATCTAAGGACACCCCATCTAGAGCTAAATACACTGTGTAAGCGTCACGGAAAAATTACGCGACATTTGCAATCAGCATATATGATCGATAAAGTGTTATACAGTACTTACCGCGCAAGATGTTTATGTTCTTGATAAGAGGAATATACATGCGTCTATTGAGATAGAAATTTATCGAGATCTTGGGAATCTCACATACATGTATTAACGATGGTATGATTTCTAGGCGAAAAGGAAAAGGAAATGCGAAATATTCCTTTCGTGTATCATGACAGCCGCGAAAATTATAAATGCTTTTCTTGCATAATTCATCAAATGAATGCCATCTCCGGTGAAGAAATGAACCCTGTCTGGCAAAAAGTGATCTTATTATGATAAAGGTGATCTTATTATAATAGAAATGTCTGTCCGCAGAGGTAAAAATGCGTCATACCTGGCGCGTAACATTGTCCTGATGCACACACTTGATAGATTCTTCGAGAACTGTCCGAAGACGCCATTTGCCATTACTAACTACGCTAATATTCCTTTGCATGATTCATTTCCTTTATTCTTGACCGGAAACGTACGATTGCACTCTAAGTAAGACAAACTTCCTCACCCTCCCCCCCAACCCGATATTTGAAAACTCTCCATACCGACAATTGATATTATTTAATGATGCATATTCCAGATGGTCGACTGGTAATCGTGGGCGCGCAACAAGTGCAAGTGAGGTCATCGAGGTCGCGGGTTCGAATCACGGAGTATAGGAGTTATTCTTAATCTGGCTTGGGGGCCGAAAAACTTCTCCCCGAGTATGATTTGGAGCTGGCGGACAAGGAGCAACTCTCAAACTGGCTTGGGGGCCGAGTAACTCCTCCCCATGGAATTTTCATTTTGATTTTGATGTCTTTTCATCATGTTTATCCTTTCTGATTTTTTTTTCTCTTTTCGTGAGCAGTTATCTTTTAGGGCCATTAACTATTTTTCAGTGATATGGTTTTGGTACGTGTATATTGCTTTTTCCCCCCTCTTTTTCCTTTTTTTTCCTCGAAATTAGATGTAATACATAGATGCAATATATATGTATATATATATAATTTTTTTTCGTATTTTAATGTTATTTTAATTTTTCTAATTATTTTAACTTCTTACTGGTCGTGGTAATATGGACCGAACGCTGCGAGGTCTGCACAAAAACGACAGTACGGCTCAAGTGGGCGAGTTTCGTAAGTTGTTTTTTTAAAAAATACTTATGGCATTCAAACCAAAATTATTAATTTATCTCTTAAAAAGCACTTTCCCCAATTAAATTCAAAGGGACATGTTATTGATGACGCGAGCACCTCAGAAAGAGGGAGCAAGAATTCAACAAAGGTTTGTGACGGAATTTTTCGAAAATCACAGCAGCTACTGGTTGTTTTTTTTTCAAATATGCCGAAGAATTTTGTCGATCTTAGAAATAAATATGTTTCTCGCGACAGTAATTATGGAGCGAGAAAATACTGCTGTGGAAATGAATTCAAACCTAAAAAAATAGCTGTAAAGTCAATCGTCCTCATCATTCTCGATAACAAAAGGACGCTTGTTTCTATTATTCTTAAGAATTTTTACATCACCATGAAATATCTAGAAGGTAGAACCAGTGATAGGTGTAAGTTTGCTCCTGCAAAACCTGGAGCGGTGGAAGACAGTCGAGGGCCGTTCATGACTGGCTAATCAATGCATTTCCATTACATTGCTGGTGGCGATTGCTGCAGTCGAGCGAGTGGCTACTTGATATTCTTGATTTTGCTCACTTGAAATACTTTCATCTCTGGATTCAGAACGGTAAACTCTGCTGAGGATCATAGACCTTCTCTTTTGGCGTTTATAACTTGCTGATTGGATATAAGATTGTAAAATCCGGCTCCTTGTAAACTCTTTCTAGGTTGGGCCACAAAGTTTTCCAGAATATCTGCATCGAAGAGCCTTGAAATACAGGTTTTCCTGGCAGAATGATTGGTTATCCTTTTTCCTTTAAGCTAAAGCCCAGCATTCTTCGCTTTTATGGAGAGAGACTTTCTAATCTCATTTTAACCGAGGGGTGCCTTCCTCATTTGAGAGCCGATTATGGCGGACCGCCAAGTAAAACGGTGACTCTGGCGTATTCAGGCATCTCCACTGGCCGATGACTGCAAGATTTCTTGTAGAAATTGCCTGAGTAAGTCACCGACGAGGGATATTTATGCAACTTCGGAAAACACAAGTGAAATTAATCCTTAATTTTATTCGGCCCCAAATGATTACCTAGACCAATTGAACAAGATGAATGCTGCGTCTGGCAAAAAGTAAACTTATTGTAAAAGAAATGTCTGTGTAGTAAATGCGTCCACAGAGGTAAAAAATAAGTTATATCTGGCGTGTAACCAATGCAAACACTTATTACCTTCTTCGAGAAGTGTCGGAAGCTTCGTGTTTAACACGCCCCGGCAAACGATGCCATCCGCCATTACGAAATATGCTAATGTTCTACGTTAATATCGCTTCTTTAAGTTCTTTGTATGATTCATTCCTTTATTCTTGACCGGAAACGCACGATTGCACTCTAAGCAAGACAAACTTCCTCACCCTACCCCCCAGCCCGGTATTTGAAAACTCTCCATACCGACAATTGATATCATTTAATGATGCATATTCCAGATGGTCGACTGGTAATCGTGGGCGCGCAACGAGAGCAAGTGAGGTCATCGAGGTCGCGGGTTCGAATCACGCTATAGGAGTTATTCTTAATCTGGCTTGGGGGCCGAATAACTTCTCCCCGAGTATGATTTGGAGCTGGCGGACAAGGAGTAACTCTCAAACTGGCTTGGGGGCCGAGTAACTCCTCCCCTTGGATTTGCATTTTGTTTCTTTGTTTCTGCTGTCTTTTCCATTTTTCCTCTTTTTATCATCATTTTATGCCCTGTTTTTTTCCTCTTTTTTTCTGAGCAGTTGTATTTTCGAGAACGGTTTTGGTACGTGTCGGTTGCATTTTTCCTTTTTTTCGAAATCAGGTGTAACATCTTTCTCTCTGTTTATCTCATTATTATTACTAGTTATAGTTCTCACTAGAGCTGCCCCCGCCCTACAGTACCATCATCAATCAAATCAAAAATCGAAATCGAGATTTTTTTTGGTTACGATCAACCGAAAACACCTACATTCTCTCTTCTCCAGTCTTCCTCTATACTAGGACAAATCTCGTGTCAAAGACGCCGATCCTAAAATTCCTCGCGCGCGTGTCTTTTTACTGGCAGCCCATGACCATTTGCGGGAAAAACGTTGATACCTTGCGGCCGTGCAAGCGATCAAATCGAGATTTTTTCTGGTTATGATCTACCGAAAATACCCACATTCCCTCTTCTCCAGTCTTCCTCTATATTACGCGGGGAGTCCTAAGGTGCCTCCTCGGGTTTTTGGCCCTCTGGGGCCAAAAACCCTGCGGGGGCAATTACCACTTGTTAATTTTTTTTAATTATCTGATTTCTGCATTTCGGTTGGGGTCAGTTACAAACCAGTGTTTTCTAAGGTAGCTTTAAGTTGTCGCCCATAAGTAATTAAGCTTGAACAATAGGAGTAAGTGTCAAAATATTTCCATCGTCTTCCTTTTTTTCCTCATTGAATATAGCTGGAGTTTTGAAAAAGAGATCCCCAATTGGAATCAACACCTTTCACCATTTACAACCTTTACGGTCCCTTTTATTAGGGAAATAATCTTACCGATTGATGTAAGCACCAGTCCTGTTGTCAGACACCAAACAGACCGTGAACTTAATTGATATCTTCTACATTTAGCTGCAATGCAAAAAAAGAAATCTCCCACTACTCGCCGTGAAATTCGAGAAAAACCCTTGCTAAGTTAACATGTAGATTTAGGTCTGACAGTTAGCATTAGTTTTAAAACAGCATCAAACAATCCGAGTGCATGGAGCTCGGAAAACGTCTTCATAAGTAGTCGCATCGCACAAGGGAGACCACCTGTCTTTTGTAATGACTGCCAAGCGCCATCAAGAGTTTTCGACCAATTTTTCCACCAGACTCTAGAATTATTTTTGAAAAAAGTCACAGTATTACACCCTGTTATTTGTTAAAGCATTTTATATATGAATCAGAGACCAAAGTAAATTGAAAAAAAAAAAGTAGTAATAATAACATAAACAGAGAGAAAGATATTATACCTAATTCCAAAAAAAAAAGAAAAAAAAAGAAAAAAAAGGGGAAAAAAAGGCAACTGACACGTACCAAAACCGTATCCGAAAAATATCACAGTGGTCCAAAAGTATAACTGCTCATAAAAGAAGGAAAAACAAAGAAAAAAAAAGACATAACATGATGATAATCAGGGAAAAAATAGAGAAGACAGCAAAATCAAAATGCTCCCTTAGTATGATTTGGAACTGGTGGACAAGGAGTAACTCTCAAACTGGCTTGGGGGCCGAGTAACTCCTCCCCGCATTTTGTTATTACTGTCTTTTTCATTTTTTCCTTACTATCATCACTTTATGTCCTTTTTTTTCCTTTTCTCCGTTCTTTTATGAGTAGCCGTTTTTTTTTGGACTATTGTGATATTTTCGGATACGGTTTTGGTACGTCTCGGTTGCTTTTGTTCTCTTTTTTTTAGAAATTAGGTCTAATATCTTTATCTCTGTTTATATCATAACTATTACAGCCAGTTATTCATTGTTTTCTAAAGTTTTACATGTGATTTAAGCATGTTGAGCGACAGTTGCATAGCATATTATTCTATTGTATTTTCAAATTGTCGCCCAAAAGAAATTGACTCTGCACCTTTCACAATTTGCCACCCATACTGTCCCATCTACTTGGGAAAAAATCCCACCAAGCTCTCCGATTGATATAAGTACCAGACTCTTGTTGTCAAGGAGCAAACAGATCGTGGACTAAATTGATGTCTTTTGTATTTAGGTGCAATTCTTAAAAGAGAAAATTCCTAATACTCGCCGTGAAATTCGAGTTCAGAAAACTTCTTCATGGTAGTCACATCGCTCAAGGGAGAAAACCTCTTT